TTGTGTTCACCCTTACACCAAGTCTTGGCAACTGTCCCTCCAACCTCATCTCTTAGCAGGTCACAGCTGGACCACCATAACGTGTCTCTTCACCCCCTCCTGACTATCCCCTGAAATTCATACTCATCCATATTAAGCATCAGAATATCATCATTGATGAGTCTTCCTAAAATATTTCATTGCTTACAAACCTCCGAAAGTTTCAGTGCCTAACAGAATACATGCTAAATCCAGTCTAGCATTCCAGAGCCTTTAAAATCTGTTGCCAACTTGTCTTTGCAATCTCATACTGTGTATAGCGATACATACCTGTATGTCTTTGCAAAGAACGTTGTATTTTAAGTGCAATAACCATGTCTTCTATCTTTCTGTCTCCACAGTGCCCAGCACAGAGCCTTATACCTGTGTCTTAGTTTGGTGTACTCCCGAAATAGACTCTGACAAGGATTCATGTGCAGGTAGCACCCAGGGAGCACCTATAGGGAGACAAAGAGTGAGGTAGGCAAAGGAAGGCAGTCAATATAGGTTGTGTTACTGAACGAGGTTTCACTGTGAGCACCTGAGGCTTATTCCAGCTGAGGAACTCTTGGAGCCAGTGTAGATCACCTCAAAATTCTCCCAGGAGTGGCAGATGGAAGGGAGCTGGAGCATTTATACACCAACTCTCATAAGTCATTGGTGAGGGCTGCTCTGACAATGTCGTGCAGGTAGCCAAGACGACTCTGGAAGCCAGAGGCGGCCTTCATACAGAGAAATGCAGGTGTTGGCAAGTGGAAGTGGACAGGTGTGCATGGAAGTGATAAGAGCAAAGGGATATAAGAGAGACAAACAGCATCTGCTACAACCTGGTAAACCCACAACAGATTGCTGGTCCTACTGTATGTGCCCAACCTTTGTAATGGAAACATAAAGCAGTAGAAGATATGCTCCTTGACCTCAGGGAGCTTTTCTTCCCACAAAAACTGGAATAATCAAATGATAGGCAAGAGTAACTTGGAGGGAGGGAGATGTGATCAATATGTTAGTGAGATGGTCTGGGAATGCTTCATGAAGATGTTGCTATCCAGCTGTGCTATCCTAACCACCTCCTACTCTAAAAATACAAAATGATTGAACACACAATACTGACACTGGACAGATGAGAGCGACAGCAGCTCTTATTATGTCAGTATACTCACATATACTCATTATATGAGTATAATTTGTCTCATATACTCACAGCCCAGGGAAGGAGGACACTACACACCATGCAGGGGTTGCACTCTGATGAAAATGAACCAACAGGGGCTGTGGGCAGCAAACTTTATAGTGAAAAGAGGTTGGAGTAAAGCTTGGTTCCCACGGGGGGGGGGATGTGATTGGCTTGTTTGAACAATTTTGCCAACTGGAAGAGAGGTGAAACCCATTAGGTTGAGGAGTAGGGTTGCAGCTGGTTCAGTTGATAGAGGAACTAGCAGAACATGAAGCCTTTGGTGTATTTGGGAAGAACAGGAATCTCATGGCTACAACTTTGAGGCCCTGTGAGGCTCAAAGATTTCAAGGCAGCTCATGGAATTTCAGGACTTGCAATACAGGAGCCTAATAATAGCACCCCTCTTTTTCATTCACGTTTCAAAGCAACTGAGAAGGCAAAACAGTAAAATGGATTGCCAAACTCACTTTTGTTGTGATGACACTGGTATTGGAAAAAGGGGTTTTTATCTGTGGGTGTGGGGACCACTGCATACTCAGAATTTGATAAACCTGCAAACCCTGACAAAGGCAGGGTAAGAGAGGCAGAGGTGTCCCTGTGCACTTCAGTTTACCCTGTGGTAAATATGCCTGTTCTTCTACGTATAAATATCAGAAGGGCTACCTACTGCCATTTCTGGCTACCACAGCCTGAGAAAGAACAAGGTAGAGGGCCTTGTTCTTATGTGTAGAGGGCCGGGAAGAGATGCTTATTTCAAGTCATAGAAATCCTAGAAGGAGAGTGTTGGCCTCGAGAAACACATCCAAGAAAATTGATGGTAACAAATACCTTGTTTTATGGGGTCAAGGTGACTTCACCCCCCCCCCCC